GCAACTTTAAAGCCAGCCTCAGCAACTTAGTGAGGCTCTAAGCAACTTAGTCCTGACTCTAAATAAAAAATAAGAAGGGCTGGGAATGTGGCTCAGTGGTTAAGTGACTCTGGATTCAATCCCTGGTATAAATAAAAAAAAAGAAAGAAAAAGAAGTCACTATTGTTAGAAGAGGTCGGGAGAACTTTCGTGGGTAGCAATCAAGTTTCAGTTACTTCCAAGTGTGTTGAATGCTCCTCAGGAAAGTGGCCAATGACCTTAGCCAGGAATAGAGTCACATCTGACATTTACCATCTACCTCGAGCTGGGTATGTGCTAAGCACTTAGTGTGTCATGTAAGTCTCATGACAGTGCAGGGAGAGGTACAGCCATCACCTCCACTTTCCAGGTGATGAAACCGAGGAACCAAGTTTCAAGATATGGTCACGGTGCTTGATGTGTAGGTTCTTCTCACGCCTTTTAGCATGAGGAAGCTCACCTTTCCATTGTCGGTCTAGTGGTAACGTGGGTGTCTCCACAGAGAGGCTGGGTTGTGTAAATAGTCCCTCAGTGTCCACTGGACACTGTCTATCAGGACTAGAGAGGCACGTGTTTGAAATGGCAGGCATGAGCCATGTGGTCAGAAGCTTCAAGAACCTGGAGCCACACTAAAAGTCGATCCCTGGTGCACTTTTCCCACCAGTAGGAACCAAGAGAAGAGTGAGATCTAGTCGTCTCTGTACAAATGCACACCATTTTCTTTTTCTTCCTCAGGATTCTGAAGATTGAGTTCAAGAGGTTGAAATGAGGTTGGCCAAATTCTCAACTATTTAATCCTAACATTGACTTTCTTAAGAATTTTGACTCACCTTGGGATTGCCTTCCTCAGGTGAACACAGACTCCCTATAAAAACTGAACTGATCCCAACTGCCAAGATTCTCCTGTGTGCACTTTCTACAGACCCCAAGGCCTTAGTGTTCCAATGGAGCAGGGTACTCCAAGGGTGAATGACCCGTGTATTTTCTATTTTCTACACCTTCAAATTCATACAGACTTGTCTTCCCATGGCCCTGTGCCTACCTGCAGGTCACCAAGGGCTAAGTTGCAGTGTTATAATTAGCATTCAGAATCTTTTTCTTTTTCTTTTTTTTTTTGTACCAGGGATTGAATCCAGGGGCGCTTAACCACCGAGCCACATCCCTAGCCCTTTTTATATTATATTTAGAAATAGGGTCTCAATAAGTTGCTTAGAGCCTCACTAAATTGCTGAAGCTGGCTTTGAACTTGTAATCTTCCTGCCTCAGCCTCCCCAGCCACTGGGATTAGAGGTGTGCACCACCTTGCCTGGTGCATTCAGAAATCTTGGCTTCATGATGTCTCCTCAGACACAGTGTGGAGAATTTTTATTCTTTCATTTAACAAATAACATACTGAGTTCCTTCTCTATGCCAAACACACTTTTAGGGCTAAGTGGAGACACCCTAAAAGTAGCTAATAGTCCAAGGTGCTTACTTTCTTGCACAGGTGAGAGTCAGTTGCACTCAGCCTCCTGGCTGGTGTCCAGTGGCATCCTGCTAGGGGCTGGGCACACTTCACAGGTCAGCGCATGATATCTTGGGCCTGATGCATGGGGAAACTTACATGTTTAGTGCATAAGTAGATAGCTACTTGGTTCTCCATAAATTCTCAGGGAAAACATTTACCATGAGAAACAAGCGTCAGTTTCTCTGTTTAGTTGTCACCATCTCTAAAGTAGAGTATTTAAAAACAAATGAAGTTTTATCTAGAGAGAAAAAAAAAAAAAGGAAGAATTTCCCTATTTTCCATCATGTGTGCAAATAGGTGCCCTTTTGGTGAAAAAGTAAGTCTAAGTTCAAGACGAGAGGCCAGGTCCTGGGTTGGTACAGTGACACAGGGCACACAGATGACCAAACTAGGGACATCAGGATCTCTTTGCTCACATCTCATTCATTCTTCATAGGCCTGCTTAGAGGTACTGATGGAAGAGGTAGGGAGAGAACAGAGGCAGAGTCGGGTAGGACAGGACATATAGCCAAGATGGATGAGCATGTGCTATGTGGCAACCTAAAATTCTCTTCATTCTTCAGGGGATCTGGTTTGTCAGTTATAACAATTTGCTACTGTCTGCTTGGACAACCCAGGAAAGACATTGAATTTCATATTTATACGATAGTGCAATTTCTCCAAGTGAAAAGTTAAACCTAAGTTCTTTTTTTGTTAGAGAGAGAGAGAGAGAGAGAGAGAGAGAGAGAGAGAGAGAGAGAGAGAATTTTTTTAATATTTATTTTTCAGTTCTCGGCGGACACACATCTTTTGTTTGTATGTGGTGCTGAGGATCCAACCCGGGCTGCATGCATGCCAGGCGACTTGAGCCACATCCACAGCCCAACATAAGTTCTTAAGTCAAGGAACCTACATGTCCTATATCAGTAAAATAATCTTAATTCAAAACTGAGATTTAACTTGGCTAAAGGATGTGGGCTACAGTGTTGCCACGGGTCACACTTGCTGCGTCACTGTCAGGTGCATCAGTGCTTCCAAATTGTCCAGGAGTTTGTAAAGGGTCACGTCTTCAACACCACTTTTCTGAGAAGTGGCTCCATGCTGCAAAAGAAGACACTACACACTACACAGGGAGGATGCTCAGCCAGCTGCGAGGCCACCTGGGAGATGAAGCCAGTCTGGAATTCCTTCCAGTGTAAACATTCTGACCTTCCTTGGATGTTCTTTGGGGAAGCCTAAATATTGGGGTAAAGATAAAAAGGGTCAGGATTGCCTTGGGGCAGGGGGAGGTTGAAATTTTAAGCCATCTGTTAACTCTTTGAAGTATTGCAAAATGCTATTTTCATATACATATAATTTATATATTATATATTATCATAAAACACAAATATATATAATTTTATATTTTAACATATATATATAATTTGAGAGAGCTGTCAGTTATGGGGAGCTCTGCAGCAGGTCTGATATAAGATTCTATGCATTTGAGTGCAGAAGGGTGTTTCTGGAAAAGGCAAGGCTTAGTGGCTAATACCTTCCCTTTCCTTTCCTTGTCTGAATTTTGGAGGTGTGAGGAAACTGGCTAAGGATGGTGCATCTGTTTTGGAGGTGCTAGAGGGGAGTAGGGATCGTGGCAGCTGTCTAGTCCTTACTTCTCTGAATCATAGGCTAAAGTCCCTTCTGTGCCACAGTCAATGTGAACACAATCTTCCAGCTTTTGCCAACCAGCTCTATCCCAGGCTTTTGGGTTTTGAGGATCTGCTGTGGCAGAGACTGTAAGTTGGCCACCTCAAAACTCAACATCCACTCTCCCCGTTTTCGGTACAAAATAAACATCCCATGTTTATTTGAGAAAGCCAAGTACACAACTGGGCTGATGACTTTCCTCTTTTGCAGTTAGATGTGGCCAAGTGACCAGATGTTGACCAATGAAGTAAAAGTGGAAGGGTTGAATTATACTTTGGGGAGGTTCTTAATAGAAAGAGAGTGTGATCTTTGACCCTTTATTCTTTCCTGTATGGAAAGCAAATGTAATGACTTGGAGCCATAGCCGCCATTTTGGACAATGAAGAAACCATGAGCATGGACCAACTTGAATCATGAAGAGGCAGGTCATTTGCAGAGCTTATTTGGAGGTTCTAGCAGGGGAGTGCAGCTATTTGTATACCCTTGCTAGAAGAACGGTCCTCCTCGATCTATTGGGGAATTTCGTCCTCTTTGGCCCACATCTTTGGGAGGGACACACATGGAGTGGTGAGGGTGGAAGGGGACACCCGCCTGGCCAGCCAGATCAGCTGAATGTTACCCTGGCAATCAATGGAGTGACATCTGTCACAGCCAGATTGCCCTCACATTTTGGACCAAAAAGAAGCCAAATTGCTGGAAGGAACATGGATCACTGATGCACAGGATGCTCCACCAGCCTGGACTGCTATCTCCAGAATTTTTTTTTTCCAGAAACCTCTGCTTTTAGAAGCCATTTATTCCATGCAGCTGAACATAATTCCAACTGATGAACTTGGGAAAGAGTTGAAATCGTGTACACTCTGAAATATTAAACCTTTGGTGTAATAAACCCAGCAGCATACACCTTCAATGCAATTCACAAGGTCGATAGTTTACCCATTAAGGATTCTGAGAGGCCTCATATGTGGAGGTGGCTTGTCATTGCGACTCCAAACAACCCAGATATGGCCGCTCGCTAGGCATTGGTAAGCATGTCATCCTTAAAGGTGCTGGAAGGCTCAGAAATTGTGTTTTATGGTAATTACTAAAATAAAGCAGTGATGTTATAAATCCTTCACAGTATTAGTTTCAGTTGTGAGGATATAAAAGATTTTTAAAAGAATTTACTTTTAGCTAATAAGACATCATTTTTTGAGTGCCTACTGTGTGCCGGGCACTATACTAAACACTTGCCTAATGTTTATTTTTCGTTGTCAATGGACCTTTATTTTATTTATTTATATGTGGTGCTGCTGAGAATCGAACCCAGTGCCTTACACATGCTAGGCAAGCGCTCTACCATTGAGACAGAACCCCAGCCCGACTTGCCCAATAATTTTTACAATACATATTATTATTATATTTTCCATTAACAGATGGGCAAAGAGAAAAGAGAGCTGTCTGGTGAGTTTAGTGGCAGGGCCCATGTTACAAAAGACCAGACCAAAACATATTCTAGGTTAATATTTTTTTCTAGATAGTTTTGACCATCCTTAACCTCTCTAAATTCTCCAAGGCACAGTGTCAGAATGCTGATCTTGTTCTTATAAATCAGAAGGCTGAAACTTGCTCATTTTAAGGTCATATCACACAGGTCATCAGAGTATCCAGAGTTTGAACTTGAGGAATGGAGAGCCAAATCCAGGCTCTATAAATCAAGTTGGTCTCTTCCTTGACTGTAACTTTACCGTCAAATTGAAAGAGAGTCACTCAGTGATACTCAATCTGGGAAAGTTAGACCCTCCTTTGAGTCAAGACAGAGAGACACGCATGCTGTCTATTTTATTCAGAATCAGTTTAATGGCATAAAAATATTCCTTATATGGCTTTACTGTTCCAAAACTCATAAACTTAAAACACAAATATGACAAAATTTAAGAATTATTTTGGCCATCCTCCCCAATCCCAAAGGAGATTAAAAAGTAATAATGTAAAAAAGTTAAGGTCAAGGTGTGTTAAGATGACGGCTGATGCCTACCCACGTGTTTGCTGGTTGGCTCAGCTCACCTGAGAGCTGCCGAGCTTAACTCACCATCCAACAAGGGGTCAGTTGTTAGTTCCCTGGGTGTTTGTCCCTGAAGTTAAGCCATGCTCTGGGGACACCGTAGGCACTTTAAGCAGATAGCTACCTTTTCTGGGTGGGGTACAATGTTTGGCAATCCAAAGTAGGGTCAAGAATCTGCAGTTGGACAGAGTGCTCCATGCTTGTGTGCCTTTGTTGGCATTTCAGAGCATCCTCATGGACATCTGTGCCAGATGTTCTGGAGACCATGGAGGACTGGCAAGCAGCTATTTAATATCTGCATTTGTTGTGGATGTGGATACCGAAGCCCACTCTGATTTTTATTTTAGTGTCCTCAATGGTAGCTTATTTACACAGAGTGATGCTCCAGATATTTAGCAGGTGGCATGGCACAATGCTGACCCCTGGAACAGGTGCTGGATGTGAACACCTGGCTAGCTGTACCCGGGTGTGCTGGCAGAAGGATCAGCTGCACGTCCAAGGAGCAAATGCCTCTCCACTTGCTCAGCATGACACTAGCTTTCTTGCCTGCACCATTTCCCTCCTCTAATCTGCCTCATCCAAGTCTTCTCCTGCAGTAGCAGCTTCCAGTGCCGCGAGGGCTTCTGCCACTGCTGCATCCTCGTCCACCACCTCCCCATCCCTGTTTCCATCAGAATCATCCGTTTTCTCCTGTTCAATTCTGGAATTGACCACAGGTGTGACAGGACCCTGCTCTTTTAAGTAGATGCTTAGAACTTCTGTGGTCACGGCCTCATTTAATGAGTCCCAGCTCCTCCTCCTGGGGAAGGGCACGTTCAAACCCTGCTCGCCCACCCTGGGAAGAATTCCCGCCAGAGGCTCATCCTCCTTGGGGTTCTTGAAAAGATAATCCTTTTCTTCATGATCCACATTGTGTACGGCTGTGCCCCACAGCTGAGGGTAATCCGGGGTTGGTATCTGGAGGTCATGACCTTGTACTTCCAAGGCAAAACTTTCCACCTTAGAAGGAACTTCAAAGTCCCCACTTTGGAAGACTTGGGTCTTTTCCAAGGCTGGCAGCACACAGTCCTGTTTCCTGGTGTCCCCTCCTTCAAGGAAGGGTTGAGTGGGGTGCACACTGTCTGTAGGACTGGCCCTGGAGCCCTTGTCCCTCTGGTGGGACCTGGGGTTCCTGGTGGGCTGCAGAGCTGCAGTGGGGCCCATGCCGTTGACCGCACTGCCAGGCTTCTCCTCCCAGCGTCCACCTCCTGCATCCTCCTGTGGGAGCGGCTCTTGGTGAGGCCAGCAGGGCTCTTGGGGACCCGCTCTCTGGCCTCTACCCTCCGTCCTCTTGAAGCCCTCACTTGCAAGGACATTTTTATGCACCAGGATCTCGCTGCTCTGATTGCTTTTTAATTTCACAGGGTCTTCTTCATCCAACTTGCAGCTGCTGACTTCATTGATGTAGCCAGGGGAGGCCACTGGAACAGGATCGAAGAGATAGCTGGGGGCGAAAAGAGTGGAATCAGTCAGTTTGTACCCTAACAGAGGAGCGGGGCGTGAACTAGTTCTTGTGATTATGCTTTTAACCCTAGATAAGTGGGTCTAACTCTAATAGATATAGTTGGTATAAAAATATGCTACCCTTAGCAGGAAAGTTTAACCAGAGGTCCCGAAGGAGGCGAGTGGTAGACTACAAAGTGATTTGTGAAATTTTAAAATAAAAAAGTAGACACAACAGGGGCTGGGGTTGTGGCTCAGTGGTAGAGCGCTTGCCTCGCAAGTGTGAGGCACTGGGTTCGATTCTCAGCCTCACATAAAAATAAATAAAATAAGTAAAGATATTGTGTCCATTTTTTTAAAAAAATCTTTTTAAAAAAAGTAGATACAACAAATGTCCACAAATCAGATATAAGGGGTTAAGTATCTTATTGATGGTTTATCTCCCTGATGGGATTTTATGTAGTCATTAAAATGATAAGTATGAAGATTATAGTGGCATTAAAAAAAAAACAACTTTGTTCCTCAGGATCTACTGGAGGAGCGGTTCCAGGACCTCCCTGGATACCAAAATCCTTGGATGCTCTTCTCCCATATAAAATGGTATTATATTTGCTTCTGGCCTGCATTTGCATGTGGCCTCCTTTTTACTTCAAATCACCTCAAGGTTACTTATTATTCCTAACACAACATAAATGCTATGTAGATAGTTTTGACTAGACTTTTTAGGAAATAACAAGAAAAAAAGTCTGCACAGTTCACAGTATAGATGTCATTTTTTTCTGAATATTTTTGATGAGTGGTTGGTTGACTCTGGGGGCGTAGAAGCCAGGAATGTGGAGGACTGACTGGACTTTTAATAAATATTTTTTAAAAATTCCAAACATCCAATAATGACAGAGGAGTCAAATTTATATGTGTTTGGAATTGAGCAAAAGCAGTGTTATTTGTTAAGGAAGCAAGATCTTCAGTTAATTTGTTCCCCCTGACAGTTAATATTACACAAAAATTTATGAAATTTATTATGAACAAAATTATAGGCACCTTGTGGGACTGGGGGATTCATTTTTAATGATGCTGTTTCAGGTATCCTCTGAAACTCAAGCTTTCTTTTATGTTGACACTCTCTCATGTCAGTTGAGCCCAAACCAAATTTAAGTCTCAGAGAATGATGATGTTCGCTGCATGTTTTGAGCAGTGAGCAAGAAAAGCTTAAAAATCTAGGCCACATTTCCTCTAAATGACACTCAAAGAGAGCCTTACACGTGAGGCATTGGCAATGTTGATCATGCCCCAAGGCGCTGAATACATGCATGTTCTTTATTTTCATTATTTTTGAATTGATGTTATATAACATGGTTTTTGAAAGCAGCTTCACGATGATCAAAAATCCCTCTATTTAGAAGAAGTCTTTGTTCAACTTTACCTTTGTATCATTTTACAGCACCTGCACCCCATCTGGATTATTTTTTTGTTACCATCTGGAAAAGAAGGTGTAGAAGGGAAGAGAACATTATGAACGATATGTGAGTAGGAATAAGTTTGTTTGTCCTTCTTAGATGCTCAAAATTTAAAAAGTTGAAAATCGTGGCAAAACCATAACACATTGATGAGGGAAGGCGCTGGTTCCCCAGAGTAACTCCATGTCTCTGAAATCACCCATTCAAAGTTCCCAGACGGTGCTAACACTTGCCTCTGTGCCTGACCCTTTCCCAACACTATGAGTTATCCATTCCATTCCCGTTTTACAGATGAGGAACATGTGCACGGAACAATGCCACAGAGAGAGGGGACCTGTGTCTTTGTCTAGTCCAGTGCCTTTTATGGAGGACACAAGAATCTTACTGGGGCAAAGCCCACCGTGCAGAAACAGGAGGCAGAAGAGGTTTTGAGAGGGTTCCTTGCCAGAGGTCAGTTCCTCTAGCATGAAAGGGTGCTGTAGTAGTTTGGATCTCTTTTTTTTTGTGGGGCGGGTGTAGTATAAGGATTGAACTCAGGGGCACTTGACCACTGAGCCACATCCCCATCCCTATTTCGTATTTTATTTAGAGTCAGGGTCTCACTGAGATGCTGAGTGCCTCGCTTTTGCTGAGGCTGGCTTTGAACTTGTGATCCTCCTGCCTCAGCCTCCCGAGCTGCTGGGATGACAGGCATGCACCACCATGCCTGGCTAATAGTTTGGATCTTAAATGGCTCCCAGAGGCCCATATGTGAAGCTTTGTTCTCCAGCCTGTGGCACATTGGTCACGGAAGCTTTAGATGGGTCCTAGAGGGAAGAAGTTAGGTCATTGGGGGGTGTGGCATTAAAGAGTGAGTTGGGTCCCTGGATCCTCCTCCTCCACTCTTGCTTTCTGTCCAGTGAGGTGAACAGTCCTCCTCCACAGCTCCTTGAGACATCCCAGCTGCGATTCATGACTCTATTCTTTCTCATTTCATAGACATTCCCCCTGGGGCATCCTGGTAAAAGTGGACTTGTTGCCCACCGGCCCACTGTCCCTAGCCCCTTCCCAAGCTGGATTCACTCCATCCTTTCCCTCTGAACCAAATCTTCTCTTCATGTAAAACTGGCTATTTTGGTCTGCTCCGAAACCCCTAAAAATCAGTGCTCAAGGATCTCTAAGTTAGTCTTCATTTCCAATATCTACAGCCTTCAGACAGCACCACCCACAGCCCCAGGCCCTTGTCTTTAAAGATATACTCAATAGGAAGAGGGCTCATTTGTGGGCTGGCGCTGCCTCCCTGGTCTTTCTCCTCCCTCTTTCAGTTATGGATGGATTCCTGAGGATGCTATAGCACAAACCTTTGCATCAAAAGACATTTTTAAAAAAAATTTTAATTTTTAAGAAGCATAGATTGGTTGGTTGGTCACAGGCAACTAGATTACTGCACTGAAAAATTAAATCCATAAACACCATCCTGTAGTAGGGTGAAAACCGTCTCCCTGAAAGATATCTGCATCCTCATTCCTGGAGTATGGGAATGTTACCTTTCATGGCAAAAAAAAAAAAAAAAAAAAGTCTTTGCTGATGTGCTGAAGTTATGAATCTTGAGATGTGGAAACTTGCTCAATGAGCTGGGTGGACTCAAAAGACAATTACAAATCCTTTTGAGAGGAAGGTGGGGATTTGGTCACAGAGACAAGGAACAAATTCACCCTGGAACCTCAGAAAGAGTGTGGCCCTTGATTTCAGCCTAGAGATACTAATTTCAAGACTTCTGGCTGCTCTAGTACAGCATGAGGATGAACTTCTGTTGCTTTTAACCCTCTCATCTTTTAGTAACTTTTCCAAGTATCCAGAAAATGACCACATGCCCAAGTCAGTGTGTTCTTGAGCACAGAATCCCTTGCGGAAGTCTTCTTGGGAAGGCTAACAGATCTATAAAAGAGTTCACTGGGCCACCTGCCCCCCATTTCTTGTCACCCTGATTGTCTTTCTGATTGTCCTTCATTTTTCTTCCTAGCATGTCCAATGCTACTACTGGACATTTTGTGTCCAGAATCACATAGATGTGATTCTGATCCATCTTTTCAGGAGGAAATTAGCTCAATGAGAGAAGGGCTTTCTCCTGCCCAATCCCTTAGCACTTAGGATAGCATCTCACATTCTGGGGACAGTTAGTAAACATTTGGGTTTCTAATGGATGTAGCTTAAAATGGAGAGCAAGACTTGTAAGCATTTTGTTTCTCTATGACCAATGGAGACATTTTCAGTTTGTGCCAACCATGTCACCCAGGAGTTATGAGGGCAAGCTCTGGAGAAAGAAAACCTGGTTCCCAGCCCAGCTTTGCTCCCTACTCACTGTGTAACTTTGGGTCTCAGTCACTTCATCTGTAAATGGGGGTAACAGGACACCTGCCCACGGTGTTGTTGGGGGATACATAAGTTCGTAGTCAGAATAAGCAAAGACCACTATATTACCTAGCCTTGTATGGATACAACATATTCAGCAACTTTAAAAACATGCAAGCCTTGTCCCCATGGAAGATGTGACTCAGCTGCTGTGACATATGCATACAAGCTACAGCATCAACACTGCCAAGTAGCTTTGCTTCTGGAATGAGGGCCAAGTGATACCTATCTATCAACTGTGACACTATTTGAAAGACATGAACCTTAAGTGTGAAGATGATTGTGGTTGCAGAGAGAGAGAAATCACCAGGGAGCTGAGCTAGGAATATATGTGTACAACCTTGCACTTTTCCAGAGCACTCTCAATTAAATTACCCATTTTCAAAGCCTGAGGCTGTGTTCCCAGCTGCAGCCCCCCGCACGACGCTCTTCCCCCCATGTCCCTATTTCCTGCTAGTAATTCACAGCTCACCTGGATAAACAGGACAGATTAAAAAGTAACACTTGCATCTCTTTCCCTCCTTCAACTCCTCCCCTTCTCTACTCCTGCCCTCAAGCTCCACAACCAGCTCTGAATTCCCAACCCTTTCCAAGTACCTTTGTTTGTCTTGGACCTAATTAATTAATTAATTAATTATTATTTTTTTTTAAAGGCAGGAGGATAGCTAGTAAAGAAAAGTTCAAAGAAAATGAAAGAGGGGACTTAGATAATTGGAGAGACCTACTGTGGATTGTAATCATGTGACTAAAGCAATCATAAAATATTAATCATAAAATATCAACCATAAAATATTAATAGTAGTGGGTTCAAAAGCTGTACCTGGGGAAGAAAGGAAGGAGGGAGGGAGGGCAGGAGAGGAGAAGGGAGGGCAGGCCAGGAGGAGGGAGCGCAGGAGAGGAGGGGAGAGGGCAGTGCATCTTGAACCACATCTGGCTCAACCCCCTTCCCAGCTCCCTAGAGGCTGAGCAAGATGGACCTGGGAACTAGAGAGCCCCGAGTTAGAAAGTCTATTCCCCACTTTCTGCTGCTGGGGCCGAGGCCATAGAGCAACTTGCACCAAAATATGCTGCTAGGATTTAACAGCCTAATTCAAAACCCACCTCTTCCCTGCTTCTTATCATTACCTATGGCTTTCAGGCTCCCTCCTACCTTGGAAAACTACAAGGTCTGTATTGATTTTCGAAGCCATGCAATCCCAAGTTTTCCTCCTTTCAGGGTCAGTTTCAGTCTGGTTTCTCCCCCACACCCCCCCTGAAGGGCATACCACATGGGCTTCCTGCAGATCTGCTCCATACCTGCGGGCCATGCTTCCGTGCCTTTGCAGCTCCGTGGGGACAGCCTCTTCCTGGTTCCAGTTTCTGACCTCTCTCACCACCCCGTGTTTTCCTTCCCCAGAGACATTCCTTCTCTCCACAGGCTTTAACGTCCAAGGTTGTGTGACCAGCTGGTGAGCAGGGTGGGGACTAATGTATTCACACCCGGCCCCAGCATGCCCGTATCATTCTTCCTTATATGATGTGTCAAATCAAATTCAATTCATTTCCCCTTTCATACGTCACTCCTACATCCACATCTTCCTTTTAGCAAGAAGTTTTCCTACTTCCAGGTGCAACGAGGGATATACTCCTCATACTACCTGAGAACACGGTGGTGGCAAAAATACCCACTCCTATGAAGTAAGCTTGAGCCCCAAAGGACCCGTTGTGAGCTTCCTACTCTGCTCTCCTTGTAGCAACGGCTAGCCTAAAGTTAAGAACGGAGTTGTTGGGCGCCCTTTATTGCTAAGCAGAATCAAAATTTGCTTTCTCTTTGGGAAAGCAACAGGGAAGCAAAGGGCAAATCCTTCGCAATCATCCCTTGGTTTACACAGGGGAAAAACAAACACCATTAGGGTGACTGTGTCTGTGGGCTGCTGGCGCCCGCCTGCTCCTGGAGTGCAGGGTCGGGGTGGGGGGGTGACTCTTTCCTGAGTATTTGGCTGAAATGAAATAGTCCTGTGTTTGAAGATGGCCACGCTAATTCACATCAGTTACTTATGGAGCCTCCTGGTAGGAAAATACTGTTTTGCAATGGGGACATTGGGGTGGGGGTGGGGAGACCAGGGAGAGCCAGGAATTTTCTAACCAGGCAGAGGAATTGCCTGAGTATTCATCAGGAAGTCAAGGAATATAGAAAAAGGCTCAACCCACCCTGAAAGAGCTGCCTTTAAATAGTGATCTTGAAGAATGACAGGGTCAAGGTAAAAAGATCTGAGAGTCGGCTCATGGGCTTCTATTGGCCATGTCTGGAACCATTAGAGCATCAAAATCAATACTACTAATATAGAGGACTACAGCCCGTTGAATGATTCACAAGGGCACTGAGATGAATAGAAATGGGGGAAGGGAAAGCTTTACAAGTAGAAAGTCAGCCAACAAGCATACAAGGAAGAAAGGACTAGAACAACTGCCATTCGATGATCATCATCATAATAACTGATGAAAATAAGAACCACGGATGGACGCGGGGTCTAGTGTGTGAAAGTTTGAGGAGAACAGGATGTTCAGTCTCAGAGGATCTCCTTGCAAGGCTGCAATGGTATCTCTACCATGGACTGAGACAACTGTCAGTACTCTGCTTGGTGCTCCTTAACAAAGTCATGTTGGCTGAGCGCGGACTCCAGTGGTAGACCTCTTTCCTACCATGTGTGAGGCCCTGGGTTCCATCCTTGGTACTGCCAAAGGGAAAAAGAAAGTGTAGCCTTATGAAAAAATAAAGAGAGTTACAGGAGATGAAGGAGATGTGATAACTGAATGCACTACACAATCTTCTTGCTAAAAGTTCATTATTAGCACAAGTGGGAGAAGTGTGAATAAAGTCTGCAGATCAGGTAACAGTACCATATCAGCTAATTTCCTGATTTTGACCATTGTATTAACGCTCTATCAAAGAATGTTCTTGTTTTTAGGAAAAAAACAGTGAAGTATTTAGTGGCAAAGGATCATGATATCTATTACTCATTAAAATGATCCAGAAAAAAAAGCACATATGTGTGTGTTAAGAGAGAGCGTGTAGACAGAGAGAAAAATAAAACAAAAGAGGTAAATGTTTATATTTAGGAGCTTGGCATGGAGGGTACATGGGATTTTCTGTATTTTTTTTCTTGAAGTTTTTCAGTTTGAAATCATGTCAAAATAAAAAGTTAAAAGGAAAACACACACATGTGCGTGCATACACACACATCTAATAGTTTAAGAGCAGTTCTTATTCTCTTTGTTTGTCCCTGGGCTAGGATTCCTCCAAGAAGTCACTGATATTAAAATATTCTGTATGAAGAAGGCCGTGGAGCAAGGGCTTGGGAAAGAGTCCATCCAAAGCCCACTGATCTTTTGCAGTCCACACAGGTGTCGTCCTGGCTCAGCATAAGGTCCCAGGCCCTGGATCTCTGGAGGCACATAAAGAATATTGCACCTATCCACCACTTCATCTCAGAGAGGCACTCTGTTATGGATTAGATATGAGGTGTCCCCAGAGTCAATGAAAAAATTTTCAGAGGTGACATGATTATATTAGGAGTTGTGGCCTGATCAGTGGATTAATCCACCAAAACAGATTAACTGGGTGGGAAGCAAAGGTGGGCAGGGTGTGGCTGGAGGAGATAGGGCACTGCGGGCGGGGACTCTGGTGTATATATTTTGTTCCTGGTGAGCAGAGCTCCCTCTGCTTCCTTGTTGCCTGTCCTGAGCTGCCTTCCTCCCCTGTGCCTTTCCCCAAGGTGTGCTGCCTCAACTCAGGCTCAGAGCAATGGAGCTGGCCATCCAGGGACTGGGACCTCTGAGACTGTGAGCCCCAAATAAACTTCTTCTCCTCTACACTCTTTTGGTCACAGTGATGAAAAAGCTGACAAAAACAGACTCACACTCCAGAGCTTTGGTGTGTGTCAGCTGTTTGCCTTCCTAAGGCACACAAGCTCCTGTAGGCAATGTCCCTCCCACCCAGAGCCCAGCTCACAGGAGGTCTTTATCCTCATCAGTCAAATGAAGAGAAATCATGACTGGCGAGTGACAGCTGGGAATCAACCGGGGATGCAGGCCAGATTTTAATAACTTATTCCATCACAGGGTCTACTCCTTTCCGTGATCCAATCTCATTCGACCCAATGGTTCAAAACCATAAGCCAAATGCATGAGTTAAGAGGGATCGGAGAGACTGTGGTTCCCCCTTCCCAGCTTGGGAAACAGCTAACACATTGTGGCACAATTCCTAGGGTTATGGACAGTCTGCTTCAAGGGTTCTGTTAAATGAGACTTTAAAGCAGCTGTCGGGGAGTCATTCAACTTTATAAAAAGTTACTGGAGCATTTGCAAGGGAGGTATAATAAAATGGAACATTCAATTTGGACTCCATCTTGAAAACTCAACTTGCTAATGTTTAGAAAACATAATCCCGGATTTCCCTGAACTTGGCTGGCAGGCAAAGTCGACAAATATTTAGTCAGTCACTACTGAATTCAAGCTCCTGACATAAGAATGAATGAAAATAAGCAGCAGGTGCTAGGAGCTCTCTTTATAGAAGAAATTACTCTGCCCGCCCATCTTCATAGATAGTTCTGAATCTATAGGTGAGAGGGGACTAGAAAACAAACTCTCCTCTACCCATTCTGTTTCCTTCCTTTCTGGGCAGGTTTTGACAACTTACCGGGATGAATTTTTCTGGTATGTTTACTTTTCTGCTAAAGGGATGGAGCCTTTGTTATTCTGGGGAACTTGAAAGATCATCCAAAGACTTTTATTATTAGCACCATTAAATAATCCATCTTATATATATTTCTCAACTGTTGAAGTGCCATTGTATTAGAGTCACCTAGATTTGGGAATATTTGTTTATGGATATGTATGTATTCATAGGTACCCTCAAGAGGGGTTTGGGAATAGCAGAGAGTAAATATGCATGCGTTCCCAGTTAGGAAAAAGAACTATTTCATTTTGTTTAACCCAATATTTCTTAAAATTACTTGAGCACAGAAACTTTTTCCTAATAAACTTATTAGTAACAATGGAACCTATGTTTTGTGGACTACTTTGGGAAAAACCATGGTCAAGATGATAGTTCTTATCGTCAAGAGTAGTTTTATAACCCAAACTAATGGAATGATGTGGTGTTTGGGCAAACAGCCAGGCCAAGTCCAAGCCCATCAGAAGACCAATCCTAGTCACAATGCATCCCAATGGCATGGATGCAGGAAAATGGTTTAATCTCTTGATCCCTCAATTTCTTTATCTGCAAAATGGGTTGATGATATCAAAATATCTCTTTCCAACCTAACAATCTAAATGGCAAAGTGGGAAAGGAGAACTACTCCTCACTCTTTGACTAGATTTACATATCATTTCAATGAATCCCCGGGTCGGCACTGAAGAATCAGTACTGCCCTTTCACAGGTGGGGATTCTGCTCAGTGGGGTTGTAAACTTGCTCATGAAAACACTGCTGGGGTCTCTTGGGTTCCAAGTCCACACTCACCCTAAGCCATGACCCTGACCCAACGGAACAAGCTCTCCTGGGTCCTCCCTGTGGCACCCATTCTCTGCCACATTCCCTCAGGGGTGCAGCTCTTTGGTACAAGTCTCTTTAGTGTTTTTGCCAGGAGGAAATGCTGACCGGCGCCCTGGAACCCCGAGACGAGGCCAGGTGTGTGTAACAGCAAAGTCCCTGGGAGGGAAAAGGGTCTCAGAGTGGAGGGGTGCCATCTGCTGGAGCCCTAGCCCTTTGGGCATTGGGCTGGGAGAGGTGCTGGCTACTGGGGGCGAGGGCTCCCAGTGCATTCCAGAGCTGGACCTGTGGGACACTGGCATTTTAACAGGAAACCGTGTAAAGTGTTTTCAAAAGTCAAAGGAAAATTTTCTGAAGGTGTCACACCTGGGTTGACATGGGCGTTTCTTGGTGAAAGGCTTCCTGAACCTGCTGGGAAGGAGTCATTTAGAGGCCTGTCCCTCTGGCCCTGCCCAAGGCTTGCGGAGGAGGACTGTTCGCCTGAGGGTACAGGACTGCCCCTGTGGCAGCTGCATTTCCTTAATTCAGGGGGACAAACCAGGTCCTGGTCCCTTGACTTTAGTGCCACTGGGCTAATAGGATCTTTGATGTCCAGCTTGAATATGGAGACATGATTTTAAAAAAAATAACAGTGATATTATCACTTCATTTTTACCTCTATGGTCTTTGCACTAGTAAATCACAATTATTTTGATGGTTCTGAGAAACATTTCATACAGTCTTTTCTCCTATTCAAGATCTGATGCCTTTTTCCCCTGATGTAGTCATTGGTCTACTGTCCTTAAAACAGATGTTGGATGAACGATGGTTGTCATGCAGCACCTTCACCCATTCCGTAAGTAGTCACTGAGCCCCGGTGGGTGCCAGGCACTGTGCTAGGTTCTGGGGATACAGTGGTATCCTGGGTGCTCCC